CTGTCTGGATAACCTATCCAGAAATAGTCATCTTTTAAATATTCTGATTAGACATATAAATACCTAACTTACCAAAGTCTGAGCACCGATGATGTGAAATACTTAATTTTGCCACGTGTAAAAGACAAAGCCACACAAAGGGCACCTGAGGCACACCTACCACAGGTTTTACAACCAAGTGTGAAGTGTACAAGTTGAAAACTTATCACTGATCCACTGGGAGATCTGGAAGCAATATGAGGAGAGGAGGACAAATCTTTACCATAGTGAATGACATGGAGGCACAGCAACAGGAAAAGGAAAAAAAAAATTAGTGAAATCACCCTCATCTCAAACATACAGAAAAAGCTGAATATGCATCGTCCACTGACATGAGCAACCAACAAAAGGGTGTGAAAGGTGAAATCTCCTGAAGAGGTGTAGGGTATGACAGACGAAAATAAGGCATCAGAAAAAGAGTCTAAAAATGTCTTCTCCTTGATTGATTTCTTCCTCAGCAACATTGTCAGGTTGAAAAAGTGAGAAAATACTGGCCAAACATATGAATCTAGCTCCCTGCAAATTAAGGCTTGTACCTCTTCTGCAGATAAAGTCAAACCCAAAGTCATAATAGTAGTGTTGTTGAATGTAATGGGAACTACCATAGCCAATACATTGAATTGTGAATTCATATGAAGTTCTTGTATAATTTGGCAACAAGAAACAAATGCAGAAAAAAAAACATCTTTGAGCCAAATGAATGCAAACACAGTAAAAGAAAACTGTTGAAAAAAATTAAAATGGCAAAGAAGCACAATCATAAACAGTAGCATCATGCAAAAATACACAGATCTAAGCAAAGTTGTGCCATTCAAGAAAGTGATGACTGAGCAGGAATAGCACAGGGTGCTAGCTGTGCTAATAAAGGTGGCACAAAACTAATGGTGGAGAGTAGTCACACGATATGTACATGTTCAATACTGGCACAAAATTGGTGGGGTAAACTGGTGCACTGAGGATGAAGATATGTTAGCAATACTTATAGAGCAGATAGAAGATTGAGGAGGAGGTAAGACCATATTGGAATCTGTCATTATTTTTTGAAAATTTAATAAGAATGTACTTCCGCATTAGTGAGCAGCCTTTCAGGTTCTTTAAAGGAATGCAGCATGTTGCAGTGTGAAACAGTGCTTTACACCCTGAATCCCCCACTGAAACAGTTGAATGAATTGTGCTTACAATTGCTACCACTGTGGCATACAACTGCATACAAAAATACAATATATTTAAATAACAACTATCTGTATTATGACTACTAGTGTTCTCACTCCTTGGTATCAGAGAAAATGCTATTACGTTTATAATTTAGAAGAAATCACCGATGGGCTAAATGATGAAATACCAATTGTGTGTGAGCACTTACAAATAGTATCATGCCTGCATAATAATGTGACATAATCCACTGATGAAAATGCTGATTACCCAATTCCTCACAAAATTAATATCTGATCAGGACTAATCAAATTTAATTGAATGGGGAAATACAGAATCAGATCAGATATTTGTCCCATCTCAAGTTAACATAGCAAAGAATAATAGTAAATATATTCCAAATTCTTTCTAATTCATTAATATTACTTTCACATTTTAGGCTTCACTGCACATGCCACAACAAGCTGATTTCCATATAAAGTATGATAAATAAGGCAAACTTTAGGCTGCTTTTCAGTAAATAGAAGACACATGATAGTTACAAATGGAGTCCATGTATTATTTCACAATCAGGGCAAGCTTTATGTTTTTAGTGAGTTGTACAACTTTGACTTTCCATAATGTTCTTTTATTAGGGAATGTTTTTGGCTACCTTTAAAATGAATAGTAAATTTTTAACAATTATGAGATGCTATCCATGTATTGTTGTAGGATCAAGGCTTTTGGCTAGTTTTCATTAAACAGTACTTTGTGATAGCTACATGAAATCATTAATGTATGGTTGAGTGATTAAGGCTGTTAGCTATATTTCCAAAGATACAAATGACCTGTGTTTTTTTCAAATAATTTTTCAAACATTTTGTTATACAAATTTTCTAATATTCTATAAAATGATCTTCCTCACAATTATAAATTTATTCAGATTATGTGGCACAATCTTCAAATAACTTCCAAAAATGAAGAAAACATTTTATTTTGCCAATAAAATTGCACATATGGGATAAACCTTCATTTCAGTCATCTGCTGTTTTAGCTCCAGCAGTATAGGTGGTGTCTCACTGGCCTTTTCTTTCGACACATCAAGTTCTTTCTTAACTTTTGTGAGGTTACTCTTCAGTTCCTTAAGCTTTTTCTTGTAAGTTTCTACATTATTTACTTTTTTGTTTCTTTCCATCTTTTCCTCAAGTTCTTCACACTGTGAAAAAAAAATTTTTTAATCCTTTTTGACTAACCTTAATTAAACTTTATGCCACATTGGCAACAGCTTCCTAAATCTAAACGAAAAAATTTAGCAAATACATTTTTCTAAAAAAAAGAATACAAAATTAAATGCAAGTTATTTTTTTATTGCAAAGTTTTATTGCTATGAGAAAAAATGCCATATTTTGGCAATATGACTTGGACTACTCATTTAGAACTTTGCATCTTTTTTCAAGGTATGATGGACAAGGGTGAGGTGTTTGTAAATATCAAACAACCATTTAGAGTCTGTCTGGATAACCTATCCAGAAATGTCATACTTTTAAATATTCTGAATTAAATCATTATTTTCAATAATTAGGAATACACAGGTAAATTGATTAACCAGCCTTTACGCATGTTACAGTAAATAACACTACTTTTAATTTTGTAATACTGTGGAAGAAGTCACTTGAATGAACATAGCTATGTGTGTATATTTGCAATGTATATTAATTTAGACATTATAATGAAAATAAAATAAGCAAGCAGAACTTTAGTTTGGGCTAGTGCAAAAAATCATTTCCCCACCCCTATATGTTTTCACAGTATCTCATTATTCTTGCACCTATGTACAACAAGCTAGTATAGATGGGTCACATTGCCGTGAAAATCTGGAGAAATATTATATTACTATATTTTAATAATTAATATTAAAATTCTATGTGAAAAATCAAATAAAAAGTAACACCAGAACAGGAACCCCTGGCTAACAAGGTTAGTGCTTTATCAATGAGTTATCCAACAGCATAACTTAAGTCATCTGTCAATTTTCACATATAAAATATCTAATTACAACTATGATTGCCATACCACACAGAGGTCAAAATTTATGCTTTGCTAATTTCCTAAGTAAATCAAGTTTCATTAAGGGAAATCAGTAGAAAAGCTAGACATTTTGTAGGGGGAAATCACCGAGTGATTGCTCATTTCTCATAAATTTGCTGGAAATCAGACCAAAATGTTACTATCCCTCATCTATACAGAGATTATTGAAACCATATGACTCTGTTTTTCAATTCTCTTGCATTTTGTTCAAAAATTCATCTTTTTTAATTCCAAAGAGATAAATATAGGTGGTTTGGAAGAGCAATGGGAACATGCTAGGTGGGTGGCCACCTTTAATTACCAGAGTCACAATTTAAAATGTCTGGTAATTTTCACATATAAAGTCTTTCACTACAACTATGATCACTATATTACACAGGGGTAAAAATTTACACTCTTCCAGTCTACCGATGAAATCAAGTTTCATTAAGGGAAATTAGTAGAAAGGCTAGATATTTTGTATGGGAAATCACCGAGTGATCGCTCATTTCCCATAAATTTGCTGGAAATCAGACCAAGATGTCAATATCCCTTACCTATAGGAGATTATCCAAACCATATGACCCTGTTTTTCAATTCTCTTACATGTTGTTTGAAAATTCATCCTTTTTTCTTCCGAAGACATAAATATATGCAGGTTTGGCATAGAACTGAAACACGCTATATGGGTGGCCATCTTTAATTACCAGAGTCATAATTTAAAATGTGCAGTAATATCACGATCAGCTTTTAAATTTGTTTTCATTTCGAGGCAAATATAAATAAATAATTTCATCATTTTACCAATCTTATATGTTACAATTGGGTCAAAATGATTCATTTAAATGTTTCAACATGGGCTTGGTTAATTTGACCAACACATGGTCTCTTTGTACCGGTTTAAACTCTTTAGTTTTGATACTACTAAATTTTCATATATTTGTCCGTAAATAAATTGAGTCTTTACCAGTCTGAGTACAAAATGGTTTTCATGTTGAGATTAAAAAATACTTTTCTTCATCTCAAAAATCTTGAATTTCACATGCGTAATCTCCAAAACCTTCTAAATACATTTCAAATGCTTGTTTTCAGTAAAACTTTATGTTTTATCTGTTATTTTTCTACCCTAACTCTATAAAAGATTAGTCAATTTGACTGACCTTGTAAACACCAGAAAAAAAAAAAATCCAAAATAAATCTAAATTACCATCCTTTTCTTTCTAGAATGACTTCAAATGTAGTGTGAAACATTTCATTATTTTATTGCCCTTTCTACCATGTCTAACTACTGTTCATGCCATTATACGTTGTAAATCTCTTGGGGAATGTGGAGCTCATGTTACACTATCGAATTACATTACCCAAGAGATACTCCGAGCTGCTCATATGCCTTGTGAAACATTTTTATTATATTATTATTATTATTTACTTCACCTAATCTAGCCTTAACTAACCTAAAGAGATCTGTATTTTTACATTTTAGTTACTTTTATAATAATAAATAAAGAATAAACATCAAAAACAAGAAATAAAGTACTTTTACACTAATGGTAGTAATGCACAAAATAATTTTTATTTAATTAAATAATACACTAAAGAACATAGAATAATAACATGCAAAAAGCAGACAATTTCCCCTAACTATCACAATTTTTCTGGCTTTCTAACTATGAGACAAGAACAGTTACAAATTCATCCAAGCTAGTCGTTATCTCTTCCGTGAGAACAAAGCTTGTACTAACAGAGAAAATGATAATTCTCCATTCAGAAAACAAGATAATACAATATGTCATTTGATAGATGAAAACTCTGGCTTTCTATTGGTTATATATAACACAGAATTAAACATAAGAGAGAACTATTAACAAATCCTGAAAGAGAGGATATGACAGGTGGGTATGGCAAGAGAGGTCTGAAGAGGAAGAAAACCACGATCTGATGCAAACAGTGAGAGATGAATGCATCATGGGTAGTCCACATGCCTGATTGAAGAAGTACCTTCAAAGGATGACAATGATGAAACACCACTGAAAAGGTAAGGTATCAAATTTGGTGAGAAGACACTCAGAACAAAGTACAGGAGGAAGACAACAAAGAGGAAGAAACCAATCAAATGAAGAGCCAAACCCAACTGGTGAAAGAGGAAGGAGAAAGAACACAAACAGAGGATGGTTACGAAGGAAGAAAGAGGTTGGAATGGACACCATAAAAGATAGCCATACAGGCAATATAACAAAGAAGAGCACATATAGGACACAGATGTCAATCAGGACAAAGGTGTGAAATGGGAGGAAAGGAATGCAGCTAAATGGAGAAGTTATCCTCACGAGCTGCTGAAGTGTTAAGGAGGAAAAACAATCCACAGAAAAGAGAAGATATGTAGAAGGATGATAAGTACATGAAACACTGATGGCAAATAATCAGACCTCCAGCATCCACAGGCAAATAGGAGAAGGAAGCAAGATATATGGGAAGGTGAAACAAGGAGCACTGGGAAGGTAGGCAAAGTGAGGCAGTGCAGGACCACATTAATATCCCCATCTGGAAGGGCACTCTGCCATGGAAGATGACAAATCTGGAAGGAACACATCCACAGGTAAAGTGCACGAAATGTAAATACCTGTGAGATCGGGAAAAACGAAATGTGTGTGGCAGGACCACCCAAAAATCCAAGACCGAGGAGACAGAAGATTCCTGATCCAAAAGTCAAGACAGGAAATATGCCTGATGAAGAACAGGGGTTGATCAGGGGAAAACCCTGGACCTAGAAACCAATGACAGAAAGATTCCATTTGTGTTGAGAAACTTCCATGTAAGAACTGGAAATGACACAAGCCTGTAAAAGACACTAACTGTTGAGAGAAGCAGAATTACCTCGCCAATGACCAGAGGAAAACCAGGAGTTAAGAGTGAAGACAGGAAGGCCTTGATGAAACACCTATGACTGAGGGTGGAAAAGATGGGATGGAGACAGGGGAAAAAGTAACAGAGGAGGAAGTTGGAGATGGAAAATCCATGGAAACCATAGTTGGGATGGTCAGGAAAAAGCCATCAGAAGGACTGAACATGGAGTGTCAAGGATGAATGAAATCACCTGGAGAAGAAGGAGAATGGGAAGATATACAAATGTGTGGGTCCAATCCTGGCTGAAAATGTTGATAGTCAGAGCAAGAAGATGAGGAACCAGAGACCAAAACCAAGGCAATTTGTGGTTAAGGGACATGGCAAAAGCCTCATTGTGAGGAGTACCCCACTGAAGTCAAAGCCACTGGAAAAAGGATTGAGACCACTCCATTAGATAAATGTTGTCTGGACAAGAATATAATCCATGACAAGAACAAAAGTACCCTGAACATGACATGCAGGGATAGGAATATCAGATGTGTGGGCCCAAAAACATATGAATACAGAAGGATGGAGAATGGGTGCCATCCTGGTGATTGAAACAAGCAACCACTGAAGAAAAGTCTGAATGGTTCATTACCAGAGGATTTCTGGCCATATGGAGAAAATGAACCAAAACATGACCTACAGCGAGAAGCTCCAGGACATTGATAGGATGAGACTTGTCAGCCACAGACCAAAAACCCTGAATCTTCCAGTTGATCAATGCACATCTGTATCCCCAAACAAGTGCATCTATGAAATGTGGAAAAACAGATGAGAAAGAGGAAGCATGACACCCACTGACATGCGAGTTATATCTGACCACCAATGCCAATCAATTACAAAGGTAAGAGGAAGGCTTATAACAGTTCACAAAGGGTCCCTGTAAAATTCCCCTGGTCATGAAAATCCCACAAAAGAGCCCACGTATAAGCCTCACCTATGGGGATAAGAGCTACCATGGAAGATCATGTCCCCAAAAGTGATAGAACTTCACAAGCGGTAATCGAACTGAAAACCCACTGAATGAAATTGAAGAGGAGAAGGGCAGTCCTGACTGAGATGTGTGTGGAAAAAGAAAAACACCCAAATGGCCAAGATATTGGATAGGTCGCAGTAAGGACTTCTCATTACAGCCACCTCCAGGAGCAGCTGATAAGGATAACAGTCGGACTCCTGGTCAAAACAAGCAAACAGTAGCCAGTTGATCAAAGAAAGAGGAAAGCGCAACCCAAGAGCATATAAGTGATGAACAAATGCTCT